CCGGGAGTGGCGGCGCGCGGTGCCCAGGTGTGGGGCTAGTAATAAAATATATATAAAAAAATGTAGAAAATTAAAAAGAAGAAAAAAAAAGAGGAAATCCCCGGGTCGGCTGCAGTTATTATTGATGGTGGTGGACGGGACGGGGCGTCCCCAAGGCGCGCACAAAGTCCAACCCGTTCGGAGCTGGTGGAGTAACTCCCTGCGGCGTGGCGCTGGAACGCACGCGCACACATTTTTCACGCAAAACGCAATACATGCTTACTTTAAGACAAAAATTTTGGTTTATATTTCAAATACTACTGAGGGTACCAACCATATTGCCTTGCTGCATTGACTTTACTTCACGGACGCCCCCCTTCCCACCTCCTTTGCCGGCCACTTTGCGAGGCGCGGTACTCAACTACTATATACAATTTGAATAATGCCGCGCCAATTTTGCGCGCACGTCTCTTTCTCTCTCTCTCTCTCTCCCCGAGCGTATTTTCGCATTACATTTTCGACAGTCTTCGCGCCCGATCGCGCAGCGCCTATTTCTTCGCACTGCACGAAAATCGGGGTAATATATTCAGGACTTTCCTTCGTTTCGATTCAAATAGAAATGGCGGCGGCTCAGGAGATTTTTTTTTCTCAAACTGCCCCACGCAGCAAAGCCATCAACTCGGTCAGCGGACCTCCGTCAAACTCACACATTTTGAAAGCATCTTAACTTCCTGACGCGACGCGTGAAATTATTATAAATAACAAGGTACGTGTGATGATTTCCAACGCTTTCCACAGCGAAACCGGTCTTAAAAATACATATGTGCACCTCCTGACAAAGCACTATTTGTAGATGTGTGGGGCAGCATACGGTGCCTTCCGCTCCCCTCAGCCTCTCTACAAACAAGAACCTGCCCCGCCCACCAAATAGTTGTTTTATATTTAATACTTCCATTTTCCTTTCATTTTCCCGCAGTAATTTACCTTTGGCCTCGTTATTTTGCCCCGGCAGGGAGGACCACCAACCAAAGCCCAGCCCTATAGACCGCCCGAAGCCGTCCGTTAATTGACGGAGGAAAAAGGTTGTTCGTATATCTAGCTCAGTGTATGTTTGCTGTTGCGAAGAATCACACTTCTTATCAGTCATATCAGGCGTCTATGGAATAAGAGAGAGACCCTCCAAGAAATGGAGCGCGCGGGTCACCTGGACAAACGCAGAGCAAGAAGAAGAAGAAGAAGAAGAAGAAGAAGAAGAAGAAGAAGAAGAAGAAGAGAGGTGATAACAGCACCCGCGCCCTGGCCGAACCAAACCCATCCGCACTCGCACCAATCCAGTGCGGCCCAACTTGGAGCGAAGCGGGACGGGGCGGGGCGTCGTGTAAACAAACAGCACCAAGGCAGGAAGGGAAGGCCTGGCGTTGTAACGCAACGTGTGCGACCGCCAACATCTGTGCGGGGCAAACATGCAGCGCCGCCGCGGCGGTGGTGGTGGTGATGGTGCGGCGGCGGCGGCCCGCAGAACAACCGGACAGAACGCCCCAACGCCCCGCCC